CCTCGTAAGCTGCTTTTAGCGCTTTGTATTTGCTAGCAAGATCCTGTGCTTCGTCCGAGTTGGGGTTACTAGCGGGCGGATCACTTTTGTTGGCTGGCTTGTCTGCGTTTTTGTTAGTTGATGAGGCGGCTATGCCGGCTAACAGGATCCTGAGGTCTGACTGTGTCTCGGTCAGGTCCTTGGTTGTGGCTATTTTTTCTTGGCTACCTGTATTGGTACGTTGGTTAGGGTTGCCTCCCTTAGTACCAGCTGGGCTTCCTTCCATTTCGGGCACCCTTTGTACCGCGCGCTGTGGTTGCCGCCGCAGTTAACGCACTTTTTCTGTGGGTTTGCTGCTTGGTGGTTTGCAGCTGCCTTTGCTCTGGTGCATTGGCGGACCCAGTGGTTCTCACTGCAAAAACTGCAGCGGGCCCCATTTCGGCATTGGTCCTGTTCGTGGCCGAACCGTAAGCATTTTTGGCATTGCTTTACAGTGGGCACGAACCTCTCGAAGTATTTCTCTTTTCCCTGGAGAACTATTTTTGTTGGTTTATTTGTCCCTTTGATTGATAGTTTCACCAGGGACATGGGCTCACCCGAAGCCTTAGTCAGTCGTTTGACTTCGATGAACGTGAGAGTCGGGTTTTCCCTCTTTAGATTGTCGATTATTTTGTTGATGTTCTTTTTCGGATGGATGCCCTTTACTACCATGTCCACCTTCTCCGGAATTTCCTCCAGTTGGACCTCGATGTTACCATTCAGGGTGAGCTTGTGTGGTTCGTTAGTTTCTGTGAGTGCCTTTGACCAACTCTTTGTTGTGGGTTGAGTGGTTCATTACTACTACTAGTTCTTTGTAGTTCTGCTCACCCTGATCGTTTTTCTGCCTTTTCACCTTGAGCGCGCCTCCTGCTCTTTTGGGTTCAGACTGAAGAGTGATGCCTCTTTGAAACTTAGCTGCGTCACCTTCACTTTAATTGTTCCTTCGAAGGCGCTTTTTCACCCTCCTCCGCTCTTGGTAGTGTGCGTTCAGAGCCTAGTGTGGTGTTTTGGCCTGGGTCTTGTGTGGTTCGACTGGAAAGCTGCACTGGGGGGGTGTAACTGACTCTTGTGCGCCTGCCGGGTTGAGGCCGGCTGGCTGCCCGGGTGGGGGCGTGGGTGCCCTCCCGGCTGCTTTGTCCGCGTATGTCGGCGCCGAAACTGGTGTCGCGGGTGCCTTTGGGCTCTCGTCCATTGGGGTGGTTACGTCAGTTTTGGCTTTGCGGATAGGCGCTGCCGCCGCGCTGGTAGCGGGTTTCCCCTTAACTGGGCGGCTTTTTAAGCTTCCTTTTGGTGGGTTGTTGTCGCCTGACTGCTGTTCTTGAGAGCGAGCTCTCGTCGTTACCATTTTGTCCGGTTTAGGGTTTATGTTGGCTAAGCCCTAATCAAGGATTTGAAGTGTTTTTAGTAGTAGACTATACTCACAAATCTTGATCCGGGCTCTGCTGACTTCTTGGTGGCTGCGTCGTCTTTTGAATGGTCTGAGCTTTCGACTACAACACGATCAGTCCGGACATAGGGCCTTATTACAGGTATCCGTGACCAGGTGGTCAAATCGTGTTACAAAGTGGTCAAATCGTTTGACCAGGCTCAGAAGGTGAGGGGTTAGTTTCACGGATGCATCGTTGGGTTCACGAGTGCAATTTTTACTGAGATACCCGTGAATCGTGGCCGTAGCTGCTGTTGTGCTGAGAGAGACTGGGGCAAAAGGGATTACACCGGTGTAATGATGTCGATCCTCTGGACTTTTACTTTAATAGAGCTGTCAAATATTTTTAAGGCGGGGGGGGGGGGGGGGGGGGGGGGGGGGTGGGGGGGGGGAATGGGCTGATTTTCCGTAAAAGACTTTGATTACTGCTCTGGAAGACTGATCGTTCATACCAAAGTTAATGTACCGGCGTATGTTTAGGAAAAAATAATTCGTTTCTGTAGTCACCTTATGTGTAACTGATAGCATGTGTTTTGTTTTAATGCCATTTTCCCCACTTTTACTGCTAGGATTATTGGTTTGATGTTATTTTTCACAATCACATAACGGCTGTATATATAACCAGGAACAGTTAAAGTGTTGAAGAAGGCTAAAACACACAAACAACAGAAAGAGGCAGAAAACGTCTGTGGTACTCTGTGGGAAAAGAAAAACCCGAACATGGTGTAACAAGTTTACAAGTGAAGTAACTGATAGTTTTTCGACGCCTTTAGGCATATAGGGCTTGACCTATATTTTCTAGACCAGTCAGTTCTCGGTGGGTGATGTGGTCAGCACCACGCAGGGCGCCTTTACTTTCCAGGACTTTATATCTGATACCCATTTAAGGCTGAGTCGACGTGGGCTGGGAGCCGTCAGGACCTGAACCCACGACCTTCAGATCCACAGGCGAGCCTCTAGCCGCTACATCACGGCTGCTCCCATTACAACTACAAGAGTTATGAAATAAAAAAGATTGATAAGAGAAGAATATAGGAGGTTTTTAAGTCCTTTTATAATAGCGCACCCAACATTCACACAAGCTCTTATGCATACTGCTGAAGACCATGAAATGTGTATCCTCGCCATTGCGAAAGAATCTTGATGATCATCATCATGGGGCTTTTTTTCCTGAAAAGTAATTTTTTTTTTTTTTTAAGTCTTAATCCCCAGAGCTTAAATCCCTCTTGTTTTTGTCTGTAGAGTTTATCGAGGGAATCGACTTCATTGCACCGAGTCTTATCTCACATGGCTAAGAACTCTACCGAGAGCGCCAAACAAAGCTATGGCTACGCGCTCTATCAGAATTGCACTCATGTACGGGAACAAAGCAGCAGTGAAACGAACCCATTATTGTTGTCAATGTACCGACTGCCTATTGATCTATAAAATATAGATCTAATCTCTTGGATATAGACCCGTCAGAGAGCGGTCACTTCACGTCACGAATGGTGTATCTGTGCGGTCGGTCGTTGCAGCCACCTAGGCATAGATTGCAGCAGGAGGTGTTGTCTTGCATTATGGTGTCTCTACATCACCAGAAGAATGAATGACTCTGACACTGTATATTCTAGGTCAGAGTTGGGTCCGAGGGGCCGTGACCCGTGCTGTCAGGGAAGGTCATAACCCTAACCCTAACTTCATCCGATGCCATTATTTTTCATCATATCCATGTACTCAATACATTCTGCATACTAAGAGGTAAACATTCGTTCAGCGTTGTGTGTTGCAATTGAGCGGTAACTGCCGTGCATTTAAGTATCCATTCCCCTCGATTACCTGGCAAGTGCGCGCGCGCGCGCGCGCGTGTGTGTGTGTGTGTGTGTGTGTGTGTGTGTGTGTGTGTGTGTGCCGCACAGCTCGAATGCAGGACAGTGTATAGTACTGTCTGTGTGCTTGTATATGTGTATGGGACGCGCGCCTCACCCACAACTTTTAGAGCGTAAAGTAAACAGCTTGGTCCTTTTGTTTTAAAAACCTGATCTCGGGGACTGCAAGATTTCAAGGGAAGTTACAGGAAAAGTCCAACAGTATAGTGGTGTTGGATGTGAAATAAACACCGACTAACCGTAAACCCCCACCACCACTATAATATTGGACTTTTCCTTGAACTCACCACGAAATCTCGGAATACCAGAGATGGGGTGAACTAAAAGAAAAGTACTAACGACCTGAAAAATTAGCCACCGAAACCGCCTAAAAGGCATTTTGTCTGTTATCTAGTACAACTTGTCACCTAGTGACCGAGAGAACCAGGAACGCATGCAAACTGATATCCACCGAAGAAGGGATGAGCTATACATGGTAACGTTCAAAGAGCTACATAAAATGGTATTGCTTAGACATGACGTTTATTAATTATGTGATATAATTACAACACATATACACAAACAAAGGATAAAAATGATAGCAGACTATATGTAGTGACATGTCTCCGTGGCAAAGTGATAGCAGACTATATGTAGTGACATGTCTCCGTGGCAAAGTGATAGCAGACTATATGTAGTGACATGTCTCCATGGCAAAATGATAGCAGACTATATGTAGTGACATGTCTCCGTGGCAAAATGATAGCAGACTATATGTAGTGACATGTCTCCGTGGCCAAATGATAGCAGACTATATGTAGTGACATGTCTCCGTGGCCAAATGATAGCAGACTATATGTAGTGACATGTCTCCGTGGCAAAATGATAGCATACTATATGTAGTGACATGTCTCCGTGGCCAAATGATAGTACACTATATGTAGGGACATGTCTCCATGGCAAAATGATAGCATACTATAAGAAATGACATGTTTCTATAGTAACAAAATAGCACACTATACCTAGTTACAGTTTGCATGAGAGCAAACCATTTTTTTTTAAAATTATTATTTACACATATCAGAGATTCAGTAGCCAATACATCCTTTCCTATCACTTTAAAGATCAAGAAAAAATTGTTTTTGTATATTTGTACTAAAAGTGCACAGTTAATCAATTTTAGTTATAGCCTTTTCACCCTGGTGACCTAGAAATCAAAAACAAAGCCATTAATTTCTCTGATATTCTCACAAAAGAAAGTCCTTAGAAAAACAAATGTTTTGCAGGTGCAAATATTATATAGAGTAAGGGGAGTAATAAACTGAAAACTAATGCAGCATATATTCAACTGGCCTACATCTCTCGAGGGCCTGAAAACGAATTATAGCGTAACACTTACTTGACCCTGTGACGTGGTCGCCCAGTAACCACTGAGGTGAATGGGGAAATATGACGTAGGAAATGTCCCTAATAAAGTGGAACAAGTAACGAACTCAGGCCCAGCTCAGCCCAGCTACACACTAGGTGACCTTTCACTGATGCTTACTCAGGCAGGTCTACGTTAGAGGGGTGTAGAATGTTCTCTCACGTGCAACCTAGGTTCAGTGTGTGGGGTAGAGGGGATTGGGATTGAGGCTTGTTGTACATGTTATGGGTCATTAAAACCGCTCACATCCTGTAATACAGAGCACGCATGGTTAATTATAATTCTACTGAAAATGATAGCCATGAGTAGTAGTCGCAAACAGCAGTGCATCTACCAAGCTCTCAAAGATTTCATCATCGGATGGAACTGGTAGGTTCACAACTGTGTACCAGTCTGCATATGTGTGTATTTCATTGCTGATCTTATGACACTCAGTTTTCATCCTAGTAACCATGTCTTTTGTTGGGAAACCCCAGTTGTCATCATACCTTTGAATAATTTGATCTCTTGACATGCTCTCTGGCCAGGCTATGTCCAGGAATATGACTTGAAAGGCCAGAAGATTTCGACTGACACTCGTTCGTTTGAATGTATTCTCCAGTCTATATTCCTTGTCTATGCTGTCATCTTTGAGCACCGGATCATCCTTAATGAACCACATTACATTGCGTCTCCAGCATTCGCTAAGATATGCCTCGGCCACATCGTGCCACCTAAAGCGTTTGGAGACGGCCAGCAACATCAACCACTGACCAATGTCTGGACATGCAGTTTTTGTGCGTCTGCTCTCATTTTCAACAAAATCTTTGATACTCATCTCAACTTTGTCTTGTATTCCTGGGTACGTATCAATAGCCCACAGAAATAATCTGTGAAGAGCAAAGTATCCATTCAAAAAGTTTTCATTTGCTTGCTTCAGTTCTTTAAATAAATGCACTAGGGTTGCACACATCAAGTTTGGTAAAGTTCTCAGAACCATATCCTCCACTAATAAGTTACCTATTCCACTTACAATAACTCCATTAGATAAGTCATGCATGACACTTTCAAAGTCGTCTTGGATAATTGCTCCATGAACTGGGTGAATGAAGAGTGGCAGAAAGAAAGACAGAGGCTCTTTTAATACACTGCGTGCTTTGTCCATTGTTCTTTTCATTTCATTAAAGGACTGGATTGTCAAAAATTCACATGGAGTGGTCAGTTTGGCCCGCCCAGGTGATCCTGAAACTATCAGGCCATATCCAAAAATATCATCGTCTGACAGCGGTCCTTCGTCGTTGAATTTTACTTTTGAAAAGTAATCCACAATTGTTGGTCTTTCAACAACAAGGGTTGCCACAGCTGTTGTAATGTTCGTAACTTTATCAGCGCATGTATCTTTCACCACATCTGAGAGACTAGGAAATGGCATTTCATACGAGTGCCCACAATCAGTACAGGTAAAAGTCTTTGATATCTTTAAGTTATTTACATAAAGACAGTCTGATGTTGTCTGATTTTCTGCCAAGAAAGATGCGACATTCATGAGAATGGTTTGCACAGTATACCCAGGAGACCAGCCATGCCCTATGTCTGAAGCCCATTCCGTATGCACAACCTCAAAATCAGAGAAAATGCTAAGACAGATCTGTGTCCCTTTTCTCCCAGGTTTGACTGCTCCACCCCCATAACTATATCCTCTAGGCACAAACTCTGCACTGGGAGATTTGCTCGGGTAGTCAGGTGAGAAGAAGAGTATGAGATGAAATATGATTTTGTCCTGACGAATGTTGCAGTGCCACTCCAGCATGTTGTTCTCTAAAGGGGCAGCAGAAACATTGTCCACGGGAGACTTGGTGAGTTCTTCCAGGTCACGCATGAGGCGTTTTAGACATTTCTTCTCAGAGACAGACATTGTGCAGAGAGCGGAATTCAGACAGCGGAGTGCAGACACCAGAGTGAAGACACTGGAGTGCAGACACTGGTGGCTATAGAGTTAAGGAGAAAAAAAAAATCACTGTTAATAAAAATTTGTCAAGACTGAGAAAAATACAAAAGTGTTAATTGTGACTGGGTATGTGAAGATCAGCCATGTTGTCTTGGTTAACAAATGCATTGTTTACTATTAAGTGCTTTTAGATTAAAATCCTAGTAAGTGAGTTGACAGCATTCTGGTGTTTTTCATTTTATAATTTAACAGATTGTGCTGTCCTGTTTTGAGCATGAGATGGCTTGAAAGACTGATTCTGAGTATGTGAATGCCATTTTGTTTTTAAAAGTTAAACTTGAATTATCCAGAAAAAATACAAGTAAAAATTGGCGGAAGGGCGCTCAAGGGTTCCCACAACTAAGAAAACACTCTTGTGAAAGGAGGGGGGGGGGGGAGTGGAAGCTCAGCCCCACCCTTAACGCTCTTCTCACTACCTAGACAACAACTGGGTGAGGGCTTAGAGTCAATCACCCCCCCCCCCCCCCCTTTTTTTTTTCTTCTCTTCACCCCGATAAATAATTAGGTAAGAATACATTGGGGGACCCCCAAACCAGGCGCTCCTCACCACCTTACAAATACATGTTCTAGGCAAATATGTGGATGGGGAATGGAAACTCAGGTCCTTGATCGACCTCCTGAAACAAAACTAAAGGGGGCCTGACCGTTCCTTACCAACCAACAATTTTGTAAAAGGGGTTAAGATTTGTGGACATTTTCTTTTTAAATATTTCTTCATAAATTTCATATTATTTCATGTATATTATTATGTTAAGGGCAGATAAAGTGAAATATCTAAATGATCTAGCACAAGAAGCGGAGACAGCAGCAGCAAAATGAAACCTCAGAGAACTTTACAGTAACACAAGAAAATTAGTAGGTAAATATAGTCAGCCAACTGGATCAATCAAAAATAGTCAAGGAAAGGTACTTACTAACACTAAAGATCAAATGGACAGATGGGTTGAATATTTTGAAATGCTTCTAAATAGACCAGGCCCAGAGGTTCCCCCAGATATCCAGCCTTTAGAAATGGAACTGGATATCAACTGTGAGATACCATCCAAAGAGGAAACTGGAAAAGCTATAAATCTTCTCAAGGAAGGAAAGGCGACAGGCCCAGACGGTATCCCAGCTGAAGCCATCAGGACCAACATAAACACATCAACAGAATTGCTACATAGATTATTCAGTAAAGTCTGGGAGACCGAAGAAATACCAGCAGACTGGAGAGAAGGATATCTTGTGAAACTGCCCAAAAAAGGTGTTCTACAGGAGTGTGAAAACTATAGAGGAATTATGTTGCTGTCAGTTCCTGGAAAAATATTAAGTAGAATTATTTTGGAAAGATTAAAAGATGCTATTGATAAAATGCTAAGAGATGAGCAGGCAGGTTTTCGGTCAAACAGATCCTGTACTGATCAGATAGTTACATTACGTATTATAATAGAGCAAAGCATTGAACTGAACTCACCACTTTACATTGGATTTATAGACTATGAAAAAGCATTTGACAGCATAGATAGGGAATCTCTCTGGAAATTGATGGGGCACTATGGAATCCCACAGAAAATTATCAACTTAGTAAAGGCAACATATAAAGACATGAAATGTCGAGTTCTTCATGAGGGAAAGCTAACAGATGCATTTGAAATAAAACAGGTGTGCGACAGGGATGTCTTTTGTCGCCTCTCTTATTTTTACTGGCTATAGACTGGACTATGAAAACAGTAACTGCTAACACCAAGAATGGAATTCAGTGGACCCCTACAAAACAGCTTGATGATCTGGACTTCGCTGATGATATTGCTCTTCTGTCCCATTCACGGAATCAGATGCAAGATAAATTAAATATACTTAATGCGAGATCAAAGCAGCTTGGTCTGAAAATCCATAAAGGAAAGACAAAGATAATGAGAATAAATCCGGCAAATAATAATGTGGTTTCTCTTAATGGCACCCCACTCCAAGACGTGGAGTCGTACACCTATTTAGGCAGTAATGTAGATAAAGATGGAGGAACTTATAGAGATATTAAAATACGAATACAAAAGGCAAGAGGGGCTTTCATAGCACTAGGGAATTTGTGGAGGTCAAAAGAAATTAAAAGAAATACTAAACTAAAATCAGTACTATTGTATGGGGCGGAACCATGGAGAACAACCAAGGCAATTACTAATAAATTACAGACATTCATTAACTGGTGCCTGCGCAGAATAGAGGGAATAAAATGGTATGATAGAATAACTAATGTAGAACTTTGTGAGAGAACTAAACAGGCTCCAGTGGATCAGGAAGTGAGGAAAAGACGCTGGCGTTGGATAGGGCACACACTGAGAAAGCAGGAGAACAGCATTACTAGAATGTCTTTGCATTGGAACCCACAGGGGCATAGGAATAAAGGAAGGCCAAAAAACACATGGAGAAGAGAGCTGGAGAACGAGGTTAGAAAGATTGGGAGGACATGGGGAGAGCTCCATGCAATGACGAAGGATAGAACGACTTGGCGTGAGTTGGCTGAGGGCCTATGCTCCATTGGGTGATAGAAAGGCAGAAGAAGAAGAATATTATTATGTTCAATGGCCATTCAGCACATAATTATTTCTATGCATTATTACAGGAAGTCTCTTAGTCTTCATATAAATTATAGACAAATACTGGGAAAGGGACTGGGGTGGGGAGGGGGGCTTAAGGTACCTGAGCCAAGTTCCTATGTGAATAACGCATATTTTTCGGCATCATCTCAAATTTCTTACCCTTAACTTATTTTGTTATTTTAAGCCAGGAAATTCCCTGATAACAAATACGCTCTAACATGAAGCACTCAAGCACTTGCTGCCTTACTTTTTTTCTGTTAGCCAAATGCAGACATAGACAGTATCACTGAGGCTGGTTTTTATGTATATTTTATCTGAAGTCATGTGAAATCGCTGCATTCATGTTAAATATAAGCCGCTTTCAACAAAGAGTTTTAAAAAAATGGGAGAGGGAGACTCAAAGCATCTGAACCGCCTGGTTGCTGTGCCTATGGTAGGAGTATACGTTGTTAAGCTTTATATATTTTAAAGAAACTGGAATGTCATACATAGCATTAGAAGTAAAATGTATTGTCTCCACAATGAAGGTTGGCTTCAGTGTACCACTGTTGTCTTTGGAAATATTACTTAGTGAAACTCCAGTCTATTTCACGGTGCGACTCTCGTACCGCTGTAAAAAAAAAAAAACCCACCAGAACTGACCTTTTTCTGCGTCTAACGTGGTGAACGAGCCACAGCACTCGGGAATCATGAATCTTGACACTGTGTAAAGAAATGGTTAAGAAACTGGGTAGGCGACTGAGACTGATATAGAGAAGTTTCGACATAGAATTAAACAAACTGACTGACATTCACAAATGCGCGTTTACGAAATCAGCGTTCTTCAGCCGGTGATCCGTGAATATGTTCTTGCAGGTCACCAAACATTTATATTTTATTGTATATAGTCCATATGATTCCAGCACTACATCTCTGCATAGCTGGTGAGACGTTGCAGCTGACAATTTGGAGCCAGAAGTGTAAGACTATTAGGGGGGGGGGGGGGGTTGGAGGGGGGAGAAGTTAGTGGCAGTTGGGTGGGGTTTTAGTGGTCAAGTGGTCCAAAATTATGAAGGACACTATACTAGACCACTCATCAAAATCACAAATTAAAAAAAAATATATCGGAAAGTAACAAGAAAAATAGCAGTGGCGTTAGATAAAGGGACCTTCTTTGGACAATGACACAACGAGGTGATAGACACATGATTTTACAGGCCAGATGGCACTCGATGATCTTTTTTAAATGAGTCTTTTAACTAGGTTAAGTCGAGAGATTAGGCCTTTCATGGGATTTATCCCATATCGCCTGGTCTCTCTCTCTCTCTCTCTCTCTCTCTCTCTCTCTCTCTCTCGCCATGGTAGAGAAGGTCGCACACAGCACGAGCTCCATATACCCAGCAAAGATCCCAGAGGTCTCTGTATAAAATAAACTAGTAAACCTAACGACACAGTCCAGGAAACGAACACAGGACCGTTATAACGCGAGACAATATAGCTACAGAAACAAGAAATCATAACTTTGGTGATGATTTGTCGTACTATGTGTATTTCAAATCCTTACCAGGACTTTTATTTAAAATTTATTTTTAAAAAAGTTCTAAACAATCTACGTTCACATTATGTTCAAACAATTCGCTTACCTAACGACAGGAACGCCGTATAAAGATTTGTTGATAGAGGAGTACTGCATACAGGGAAAGTGGTTGTCTTGAATGCAACAATAGTATTTGGTTCCTGTTTGTATTTTGAATACCAGTGAGAAATAGCGCTTTTCCAGGAAAGACAGCTCGCGCTGTCGAAAGTGAAACAAACGTCACACTGTGTTCTTTGCGTGTGTAGAATGTAACGAAGGTTGTCGGCAGGTCATGGGATAGCTACACACGCGCGCGCGCACACACACACGCCCACTCACCACACGTCCACACAGCACGCGCGTATGTGCAAATACACATACAGGCACACATCCACACACTCATTCATACGTGTGTGTGGTGTGTGTGTGTGTGCATTCAGAACATGAATATTATCATTATCCTCCTCGGCACCCCCCCCCCCCAACCCCCTTACCCTAATGGAGCATAGGCCTTCACTCAGTGTTACGCCAAATCATCCTGTCCTTTTGCTATCAACCAAGTGTTACCGAGCCCTCATGGGACACAATGAAAAGTAACACTCCACACTACTAGGCATGTCGTAAGGGGCGACTTAATATAAGGTTTGGCGTCACTTGAAGTTTGCTGCCTCTTCCCGTGAAAGAATATAAAACCGTCATAAAATCAAATGAAAGCAGAAAACTAAAGTTACACCGTGCAAAACAAAACTAGTGAATAGAAGAATTATGGCGCGGTG